TGCGCGAAAAAATATTATGAAATCCGCAAACTTTTTTGTTTTTGTTTTATACTGTACAAAGAGAAGAGCCAAATTTAAAGTTTAAATAGGAAGATGGGCCCTGAATTTCTAGTACCTTATATTCATATGATCAGACAACGCCTTAATTGGTACTGTTGTGAATCACATTAAACAATGGTTTTTGTCCCTTTAAGAAGTGCCTGTGCATGAGAAGAGAATTTAGATTTTTCTTTTAAGGTTTAAATCCTATTTGTGCAAGAAACATGCAGTATATAGGCGTACATTGCAAAGTCATCTTGTCACAGGGCTATCTATCTATCTATCTATCTATCTATCTATCTATCTATCTATCTATCTATCTATCTATCTATCTATCTATCTATATCAATCTGAAAATTTATATAACAAGCTATCTTTTTATGTACATATAGAAATATCAATCTTTCTATCTATCTATCTGTCTACAGGGTGAGTCAACAAAAAGTGTGATATATGGCGCCTGGTGCAAAATTTTACCTTTTTTGTGCAACTCTCCTGTATGGTGTTTTTGCAATATTTTTTGAAAAAACACCATACAGGAGAGTTGCACTAAAAAAAGGTACAATTTTGCACCAGGCGCCGCAAATCACACTTTTTTTGACTCACCCTGTATTACATTTTTGAAACCCTTTTAAACTGCCCGGGGTTTTTTTTTCTTACAAAAGGGTTATAGTAACATATTAGTAAGTCAGGTTTACCAAGGATACAATTCTACTTATTTTCAAGGTTAAGAAACTCAAGGCTCACCCCTGCACCCTCCTCTGTAATTAAGGTTTAAAGATCCTTAAAAAAGTTCAGAGATGGTAAAAGAATGGGAAAAATAATAATAAGCGAAATACAGTGGTACGCGATATTATCAATACAAAGAAGACGACTTTTTTATTTAAGTTTTGATTGTTAACAAGCTTTTTTTGTAATACAAGTTTACAAGTAATCAAAGTAAAGCTTTTTTAATTGTCTTTTATATTTATGTGTATCAATGCTGTTTAAAAGCTTGATATAAATCATAATTGAAATCGAAAGTCGTCTTCATTGTATTGATATAATCGCCTACCACTGTAGAAAAGAAGGAATAAAAAAGACTGCATTAAAAAAGAGAGATATTGGAATGTTGCTAAAGATAGTGACCCCGAATAAATGAATGCAATGAACAGTATGTAAGATTTAACTAACACTTAGTGTTTGGATAATGGAGCCATGCATTTTTATTCAAACTCTAAAAGTTAACGAATAAAATTCAAAAGAAAATATTAGAAAGCTAATGTCACAATTACATAAATCTAAATTCTGTATAAAAAAAGAAGAAAATAAAGATCATATACTATTTGTAGCAATTTTAACAAATAAAAATGAAAAACATAAATTTCTCACAAGTTCACTTCATGTTCACCTTTAGAAATTTCATGGGAATTCTTTCTTAAAGGGACTGAATTATATAATTTCATGTGAAGTGTTTTTATAACAGATATACTTTGTAAACCATAGTTTGATCAAATATGGGTGAGATTTTCTGTTTTTTTTATAGCTTATAATTGATTATATCAAGTAAGGTTTCTCTGTAAAAAATGATCTTTAAAAAATGTTAGAATTGCTTAAAAATTCATACTTTTCAAAATGGAAAATGGGCAATACCTTTCTCATTGTTGTTAAGATAAAAGTTTAAAGGATACCGGTGTGTATCATACATGCCTCTTTTTCTAAACGGAGAGTCACTTTAAGTTTAATCTTAATATTGCGAAAATTAACAAAACTGCAAAAATTTCACACGTTTCTTAAATTGCTCAAATTATCTTCAAGACTTGAACCAAACTGACGGTTCTTGAAATAGATTTCATTGCGCGCACTCAACTAAACCGGGAGCTGTCACACCACCACAGTTTACAACATCAGTATGATCCAGATTCTTTAAGCACGTAATCTGACCTAACTTTGCGCGCGCAAGGTTGCAGGGAAACCCCCTTTTCTGCGCGTATGGTCAAGGTTCAAATATCAAATCTGCTACTATAAACATATTCTATTCAACTAATTCCTAAAAAGAACACGTAACACAAGCTTACAACACCCATAAATAAGAAAGTATGGTATTTTGCAGATTTTCTGGTTAAATTTGCGCATTTTCAAAAATTATAAATGTCAGATTTGATTTCGAGCAAAGTTTGTCATCTTTAACCATGTACATTGTTATGTACAATACACTGACTTATTGTTACTGTACAGTTCGTACAGTACACTGAATTATACAGTATGGTTCACTCTACAATACGCTGAATTATACAGTATAGTACATTGTATAGTACACTATTTTATACAGTATGGTACACTGTACAGTTTACTAAATTGTACAGTATTTTAAACAGAATGATACACTGTAAAATACACTGAATTATAAAGTATGTTTCACTGTGAGATACACTTAATTATACAGTACGGTGCACTGTAGTACACTAAATTATACAGTATGGTACACTGTACAGTACACTGAATTATACAGTATGGTACACTGTACAGTACACTGAATTATACAGTATGGTACACTGTACAGTACACTGAATTATATACAGCATGATACACTTTTCACACATTTATAGTAACAATCAATATCACATTTGTTTGAGCCCATGGGATTTCCAAAATGTAGCCTGCCTGTTTTGAATACCTTGTAAAGAGTTGTTGTCGGATAGGAACAAGATTCTCAATGATGAACAGATAGACAACGGAATAACCCTCAAATCAAAATCGATAATGCGGAAAACTCTTTTTTCCTAAAAAAAATGAAATGGATAATAATGCATGAATTTGTTAAAAGTTTTATAATTTTACAATGAAAAGATATCTTAAAATATCTTAATTTTAGCACATCAAATCGTTTCATATCTTTGATTTCTTGCCTTAGCCCGCCTCTTTGTATGTCTTTTTTTACCTTCTTTTCATCATTTTTCACCCTTTTCCTCGAGACCCCTGACTTTTTTTGTCTATAGGGGCCAATAGCTGCAGCCTGCACCCCTTGTACACACGAGCCTGTTGAAATAAATGAAATCCAGTCTTATGACATGATAGGATTTAAAATCATTTCTTTGTTTTTTGAGAAATATATCCTTTTCTCTTCTTTTATTAGATTAATGATCTTAATTGGCAAAAAGTAACATTATAGAGACAAATTCCAATTATACGTACATAAAAAATGGCCAGTTTTAGCAAAAGCTGTTTGTACTCATCCTCAATCTTGCAGGGGAATTTTTCTAAAATTCAAATATTTAGTTTTGGGATATCTAAAGATTTCCTGCTTAAGATTTTTTTAACATACAGGTGCATTTACATTCTTTTTGATGCCACTTTCCCTGTAGTAAAAATACATTCATTTATTATTTTACTTAAATCTTTACATAATATCTATTCTGATCAGAGTTTAATGATGTACCAGTATTCAGTGGCGTAAATAAGTGGGGTTATTGGGGTTACTTACCCCCCCCCCCCTTATCCCCGTTTAGTAACTTGATCTCCATTCTCCATGTCCATGATTACCATTAATTATTAGGAAAAATGTTTTAAAAAAATTGGCGCTTCGCGCAGATAATCTTCCTTAATCATTTTTATCAAAGTAACATAGATAAATTTTACCCAAAAATCGAGTTTTTTAATGCAGTAGCGTAATTCTACTTTATGTCAAATTAAGTAGAAAAGCTCTTCTGGGGGGGGGGATAAAATGTTGAAAGATCAAGATTATTAAGAATTAAAAGTAAGACATTTCTCTTTAAATATAGTGAAACTAACATATATAGTACATTGACGACAAGAAAATTTTAGAAATTAGAAAAAAGAATATAAACAAAGACAATATTTTTTCAAAGTTTTGCAGAGTAGCTTTATCTAAAGATTTTAAAAAGTTACATCTTTTTCTTCTTAGAGTAAAACTATTTTTTAGGTTACTTAAAATAAATTCAGTTTTTTACAGATCTTTGGAGTTAATGTCAAATGAATGACATATAATGAAGGATATAAAACATGGTGAAAGCTGAAAGGTAGGAAATGAAGCCTTTTTTTGATGGAGTTTGTAAATGCCAGAAATGAGTGGAAAATGAAAACAAACCCAACCAAATAGATTCTAGTACTTAGTAGATGGCAACGTAGAATTTGTACTCTCAGTACAGTTGTATTCTGTCGTCACAAGTGTCAATTCAGTTTTTGTGTCCGACAAAATCATCAATAATAGTGATAATTTTAGAATAAAGTGCTTTTCTTACCGTAAAATTAGTGAAATTTTATGTGCTCTTTAGTTTCTGCTTTTACACTTTTTTATTTAATCTTGGAAAACATGTCAACCAATTTGAGAAAATTTCATTGTCCTTGTAATATTTGACACTTGTGACGTAGTGTATAATTGGTTAATTTCACTGTCATTCCACTGTACTTGATAATCTATTTGTGCGCAGCTAGTAATTCTGGAACTTATTCTTTTTTACATGTGTCACGCCTCATCGCTTATTTCAATAAATATAAAAATTCAAACTATTGCAATTGAAATATGTCGTCACTAAATTCCAATGTTTATTGGGATACGCGGTAAAATTGGTTAATTAGAATTTAGAAACAATTTTAATAAACAAACGTTTGTTCATCTTATTCATATCTTTTACATGTTTCTGCAGCCGGTTTAAAACATTTTAAATTAAACATAAAAAATAGGGGTAGCATCCCCCCCCGGCCCCTCCCACAAATTTCATAAAAAATCCCCCCCCCCCCTTCAAAGAAATTCCTGCATACGCCCTGTTTACAAGGTTTGAGCTCCGATATTGAATAAGTTTTATGTTGGTAAGGGACAAATTGAATGCAGCGTAGTCCAGATGATGAAGCATCTTTCATGGAAACTGTGAAAAGCGCAGCTGTACCGCGTCGAATTATTTTTAAAAAGTAATTTTCGAAATAAATCTGTATAAATCCAACCTTAAATAAATATATTTAAGTTTTCTTAAACTATGGTGTATATATGAAATTTTTTTACAAAAAAATGGGAGTAGGCTGAAATATAAATTTTGCACAACATAAGTTGTCAGTTTTGCAAATTTACGATTTATGGTTTCGTCATACTTACTTCTTCTTCGATACTTCTATGTTGACTCCTAGAAATCCAGGTAGGATTATAACAGGAGCTACAGTGTGGTCCTATATGGCATCTTTGGTTTACATGATAGTGTCCAATCCATCCTTGAATAATTTTATAGTCTTGCTCTCTTTCAGTTCAGTTGGTAATCTATTCCAGGGTTCAATAACCCTGAATGAAAAGAAATTGCTCCTTATTTCAGTCTTTGCTTGCCTCCTAACTAGGTTCAAATGATACACAGATTGTCTAGTTCGTCTTGGAGGCTCATTCCCAACAGTTTCAAACCATGTACTGCTATCCACACGGTCAAATCCCTTGAGAATCTTGAATGTTTGGATCATATCAAATCTTCTCCGTCTGGTTTCAAGGGGTCATAATATTTGTCTTGTAATTGCTCTGGATCCATGGATTCTGAAAACATGAAATCATGAAAATACCATTATTTTCTGCATTTTAGTGAAAATTTTTTACAACATGTCTGCAACGGCTCTGGATCCAACGTTTGTAAAAGCGCTTCGGCTTCTGCAGTCAAAATCTAAGGTAGATTGTTCTGTAAAATTTTGTTTGCGCTTAACATGCAATTTTATATTTCTCTGCCAAACTTGAAAATTCGCATACTTAAAAAAGGATTTATAATTGTTTAACGGGGAATGTTAATATTCTCGCTATAACTTTGTTAAGAATATCTATTCAAAAAGAAAATATTTCTGCTGTAAATGCGCCACAATTTTCCAAGAAAATTGGGTTGATTTTGCTAACGTAAACGTATAGTTAGTTTGGAGAAATGATTATTTTGCAAATTTTAAAAGGATTTTAATGTTAGGTGAAATATTTTAAAATTGTATTCTTGCTAATAAAATTTTCCCCAGAAGGCAAAACAAAATAAGACCAGAGATTGAAATTAATGAATAGTGAGATTTTGACAAACTTCTGAAAAGATTGGCTAAGAGTTTACTACATAAGTAGTCCAACTAAAATACCTAGTTCAACTAAATCTTGCTGTTTATGAAATCCGTCCTCCATTGAATTTATCAGGATTCAACAGCACAGTTGCGAGCTATGCTTGATGAAGCCATTGCTGTCAGGAAAGGATCTGGTACACCCCGCACATCAAGGTATAGTAGATTGTATAGTTGATTGTACAGAAGATTGCACAGGTGATTGTACAGCAGATTGTTCAGAAGAGCACACTGTAAAGGAGATTTACAAGAGTTTGTACAGAAGATGGTTCAGATGATTTTACAGCACATTGTAAAGGAGATTATAGAGTAGATTGTACAGGGGATTGTACAGGAGATTGTGCAGGAGATTGTACAGGAGATTGTACAGTAGATTATACAGTAGATTGTACAGTAGATTGTTCAGTAGAGTGTACAGTATATTGTAAAGAATATTTTGCAGTAGACTGTACAGTTGATTGTACACAGTAGATTGCACGGTAGATTGTACAGAAGATTGATCAGATGATATTACAGCAGAAATATAGTAGATAATACACTGTACAGTCGTTAGTACAGTCAATTGTACAGTCAATTGTACAGTCGATTATACAGTCGATTATACAGTCGATTATACAGTCGATTATACAGTTGATTATACAGTTGATTATACAGTCGATTTTACAGTCGATTTTACAGTCGATTATATAGTCGATTTTACAGTCGATTATACAGTCCATTATACAGTCGATTATACAGTCGATTATACAGTCCATTATACAGTCGATTGTACACTCGATTGTACAGTCGATTGTACATTCGAGTGTGCATTCGAGTGTACATTCAATTTTAAAGCAGATTGTTCAGCAGATTTTACATTCGATTGTACAGCAGATTGTTCAGCAGATTGTTCAGCAGGTTGTTAAGCAGATTGTTCAGCAGATTGTTCAGCAGATTGTTCAGCAGATTGTTCAGTAGATTTTACTGCTGGGAGATCAGCGAATCCACTTTGGAAAAACAACTGGTTTAGCTCAGTCTTGATAAAAAGCAATAATATTTTTTATATTGAATTTTAAAAAATGATTTCTTTTTTTAGATCTCCAACAGGGTCCAACTCCAAAGAGACAAGTAAGTGAGCTTGAATAAAGATTGATGCCTTCAAAAAATGTTATTCTTAAAATACAAATCTTGGACTATCTTCTTTAAAGTATCTTTTATTAATGTTAAGAAAGAAGTATTTATTTCGAGGGGAAAAATCTAAACCTGTCCAAATTTCGTAGCTATTTGTCTCACTTAATGTTACACATTAGAATCCATTCCATTTTTATCCAATCCCAGAATTCTTAATCCTTAATAGGGGACTTTATACACATAGTGAATATGATTAAACCGGTGACTATCTGACGCTAAGAAACAGATAAAAAGATATATCATTAAAATGGTGAAACTGAGATACTAGAACTCAGAAGAACATAATTTTGACAAAATAACAAGCCATAGGGTATGAAAAAAAAATCGATTTGTGTTAAACACTTGAGTCTAATCTGAACATGCAATTACTGAAAAATTAAGCTTTTTTCCGACTTCAAACCTCCCTTGTGTGTCAAGTTACGTTTAGCTTTTAAATGAACAAAAACAAAAAAATTGAAAATCCTTCATTTGTTCCGAAAATCAGTAAATCATAAAAATTGGTTTTGACCTGGATCCGAATCCGCATCAAAATGAAATGGATCCTAAATGCTAGTTTTATTTTTCACCCGTTATCTCCCTTGCTTAGGTAGATCTGTGAGCCGGGAGAGACCGTCAGATAAAGAAAGGAAGGAAGCGGAAAAACGAAAGGTAATGTTTATAATTTGCATGGGACCGTGAGCGTACTTTTAAGTGACCCTCCATGCAAAGATGGTAATGTCTGATTCACAACGATGCCCTGAAAACCTAAATAATAAATAATGTGGAAGATATTGTCGTTCATCTAGGAAGAAAAGTACTACATTTTGATCATTTCTCTCCTACAGTTGAAATACGCTCGAGTTATTTTTGTAGCAAATCCATAATAGAAAGTAATCAGTTTTTATTAAAAACATTGATATCTAGTCCATATTTGATCAGACAAATCTTTTTAGGGTACCACGTTGAGATTCGGCATTGCTTTGCAATCTTTACATCGAGGGTCATTTGATTATATGCTTGCATCCTTTTTTATATGCGTCCTAGATCAGTTGTATGAGCCGTAGATCTAGATCCAGGTCCAGCTTATGTATATTGCTTCTTGTTCAAATATCTTTTTTGTTCATTTTTTACATTGAAACTTTATTTAAAATATGAGAATCTGAGTATAAATAATTTTTATTTAGGATCCATCTGGGGTTAAGCATTATATTTACTTTTCATATTGAATATGCATTAATTTTGATCTTTTTTTGTCTCACCCAAAAAACTCAACGGTTTCCAGTCTTCTTCCACACTGGAGTAGATAAAAGATGAAAAATAATTGATTGATTATTTAGTAAATAAATATGATTTGTTGATGGACTTTTTAATTGATTCCATGACCTGGATAGCCTAAAGCAGATTAAAGCTGGACCTAAGTATGAATTTATTATCACAGGACCTGGATAGGTGGAGAGCATGATAAAGCTGGACTCTGTACATGAATCTATTATTACAGGACCTGGATAGGTTGAGAGCATGATAAAGCTGGACTCTGTACATGAATCTATTATTACAGGACCTGGATAGGTTGAGAGCATGATAAAGCTGGACTCTGTACATGAATCTATTATTACAGGACCTGGATAGGTTGAGAGCATGATAAAGCTGGACTCTGAGCATGAATCTATTATTACAGGACCTGGATAGGTTGAGAGCATGATAAAGCTGGACTCTGAGCATGAATCTATTATTACAGGACCTGGTAGGTTGAGAGCATGATAAAGCTGGACTCTGAACATGAATCTATTATTACAGGACCTGGATAGGTTGAGAGCAGATTTGATAAAGTTGGATCCTAAACATGAATCAAGATCAGAATCTAAACGTCCAAGATCACCAAGTTCAAATGAGGTATTTTCATTTTGGCAAAATTCATAAAAAGCATATTTTTTAAATTTGAATTTTATAAAAGGTTTTATTAATTTTGAGTTTTGCGGGGGACAGTATCACAAAAAAACAAAAATTAAATTTTGAAGGTTTTTTTAGTTTTCCATTTTATTTATACATTTATTTATCTTTCTGTCTATTAATCTTTCAATCTATCTAGTCCCCTGGTAGTCCTGTAGGGAGTGAGAGTAGTCAGGGAGAGTTTGTAGATCTTCAGATGAATATTGGTTGGATATTTTATTCTAATTATACAATTAATGAAATCCGAGCATCTCGAGCAAAAATCCACAAAGAAATAAATTCAGTTAGATCAAAACTGTTGAAGGATTGTAGATCGGTCTCTCGACTATAAAACAGTATGTATTTTGCAAGATCTCATACTCTTTGATTGATAAATACGCAATAAAGGGCTGGTCGTCTTTTCTATGTTTTGCAAAAGTATTCATTAGAGTTAAAACTTTTTCAAGTAAAATCTATGAGTGAAAACGAAAACAAATGTCTTCAAATATACTACTAATCAAATATAATTCCTGAAATATTGAATTCAATTACTTTTAAATAACAGGGGCCTGTAAATATAAATTATATAAAAAAAAACAATGGTCCAAGTCTTAGTTTAAAAAAACGCACGTTTTTTGGCTAGATTATTTAAGTTAAAAGTGTAGACGTTTAGCGGGTTCAGACATCTTTCAAATTCCATATCGAATATTTATGTGTTGTTTTATAGGATTTTTATTGCTGATAAAATTTTATATTTTAGAACTGGATTGTACCTGCGTGGTTTGTAAATCATTTAACCAGGAGAGCAATAATAAACTCATGGAGTGCTCTTCCTGTCAGAACCTATATCATCAGGTTGGTTGCTTGGTTGGTGGGTTTGTGGGTTGGCTGGTGGGTTGGTTGTTTGGTTGGTAGGGTGGGTGGTAGGGCGGGTGGTTGCTTGGTTGGGTGGGTGGTTGGATGGTTTAGTGATTGGGCGGTTGAGTGGTTGGATGGTTGTGTTGGCGGTATTGGTTGGTTGGCTTCAAAGCTAGATGGACTGCTGATTTATTGGATTAATCGGTTGAATGATTTATATTATCCTTGGTGTTTGTGTTAATTTTTTTGTGACTAGAAGGAATTGTTTATTTGACAGATTAATTAATCGGTTGATTGATGTACATGAACGAGTTGATAATTTGATTGACTCATTTATTGTTAATGATTGTCATGTGATTTATTGTGATTGATTTTGATGTGATTGGTTGATTGCTTGCTTCGTTGATTGATTGATTGACTGACTGATTGATGAGGAATGTCATGATTCTCATGTTTTTAACTTTAAAGCCTCGGTTCCTGATATGATTGATTTGTTGATTGATTTATTTATTGATTGATTGATTGATTGATCACTAAGGAATGTCATGATCCTCCTGTCTCTAACTCTGAAGCCTCGGATCCTCGCCTAATCTGGAACTGTAGCAGATGCTCAAGGAATCAAATTCTTATGTGTTCAATAATTTTTGCAGAATTTGAGATGAAAAGGGCTAAAGATAGAACTTCTAAGCGACCCACCGGTCCCTTTTATAATTCTGTATTGTTTGATTATCGCTGTTTTTCTGTGTTGTATTCTGTTCATTTACTTCAATTTTTTGGGGGAGGGGTGGTAACTTGTGTACATTTTTGTGCGCAAGAATTAATAATACAGGGTGTCCCACATCATATTAGATCTATCAGCTCTTTAAATTAAGATTTTAGGGTTGAAATGAATAAATTTTTAAAATGTATGTAATTTTGGCGTTAAAGCTTAGAGAATAATCTAATATGATAAGGGGCGCCCTGTAGAAAGATGATAATCTCTGAAGCATAAATGTCACTATTATGGAGAAACTACGAAGGAAATTATTAATTGTTGTCTGGACAAATAAGACATGCAGTTCTGTAACTTATGTTTCTCATAAAATTACTGTACAAGTCCCAAATTCAATTTGAAAAAAGATATAAACCCTTTGCATCAATTGATAATTTTATAACTGTGGCTCCCTACCTAGCCTTTTTTTATTTGGTGAATTTGGAATAATATTGGATGTTAAAGCGAAAATAAATGTTCTTTTTTTTGGGGGGGGGGGGTAATTCCTGAAAATATAGATCACTGAAACCGTATTAGAAAGTATGATTTTAGATTTTGAAAATAAGTTTTTGATTTGTTTTTAGGACTAATCCCACTAGTTCTAGTTCTAGCCGATCCACCTCTGTAGAGAAAACTGGCGGAAAACCTGAACTAAAATCCTCTAAATCCAGTAGCTCCAGCTCCAGCCATAAATCCAGCAAACATCATAAACCTTCACCAAGCAAAGGTTAGTTTAACATTATCAACAGTACCAAAACAGCTGGTATAATTAGAGATAGGGACCATCGGTGTTATATCAATGGACCCCACAATTAAACAGGGACATGCCCGATTAACAACAGTACCCATAAAACTTATCTCTGATCAAGAATGCTGAGATATAGATTTTCTAGCTTGAGAAGTGCTTAAACAAAGATATCCCATTCATTCGTGGTCGTACACAGCTTTAAAGGGAATCGGATATGTCACTCTTACAAATGGAGGGTTCTGGGTCACTTAAAAACTACGTCTAAGGTTGCTTGCTGGAAAACATTTTCTTTTATAATTTTGTCCCTTTAATATTTGATTCATTATTTATATCCCAATTCGAGGAAAATAATTTGTTTTAAAGAAAGGGAAGTGGGGGGAGGGGGTTAAATTATTAAGCAAAATTCACAGCACGCCTGCGATATAGAATTAATTGAGTTTGTTTTAGCATCGAAGCATAAATCTGGACACTCAAGTCATTCGTCTTCGGCAAGTCTCACTTCCGGTTCAGGGTAAATTCATTTATTTTTTAAGAATTTAATATTTGAATCTGTCGTCAATAAAAAAATATATTCATGAGTCACCAATTCTTTCATAATGTTTTACTCACTTACTCAAATCTTAATACTCATTTTTGTTATAACAAGGAGTGTATTTATGTTAAACTGGGATTCTTAATTCTTATTTTTGCTCAATTCTTCCTGTAATACATTTACTTGTTCTTTAATTACAATGTAACCTATTTACGTGTTTATTAATTACAATATAACTTCTTATTTATCCAACTTTGCTGTCACCATTTATTCATTTAATCATTCAACGTCGTTTTAATTTAATATCCATCCTTCTTCCTCATGGTAACCCGTAATCAGAATTAATTTTTTCTCCCTCGTTTTTTTATACTTTATATTTAAACTTGATTTAATATTCACTTTAATTGTTTAGTTCTATACAAATGACGGAGGCGCAGAAGAGACTAAAACTTATGAAGAAACAAGTAAAACATAAACAAAGTTTCGGGGATTTCAGATTATTATTTTGAATCTTTCCTCACTGATTATTAACAACAATAAAACAATGAAATCTGTCCAATCAAGATTAAAGGGACTGTCTTCGTTATTTCAAATTCTTTTCCATTTAAAAAGTTACTTTCCCGATTCACATTAGTACCATCCAAATCGTTGTCTTCGCAAGATAGAGCTTTCTATTTTTTTGCCAGAAAATTGGACCTCACTAGTCTCCTGGAGTTTGTAATAACTCTTGTAATAATAGAGATAAATGGTGCTAACTTTGCACCTATATTCTTTTAATCCTTAAGGGGCATAAAAAAATTTCAAATTTTTTTTTCTTGATCAGGGGCGTAGAAAGGGGGGTATTTGGCCCAAAACAGGTATTTATATATATAAATATTTTTTTGCCGATGTATCATTATTGTTTTCAAGATTTTAGGTCTGACAGAATATTAGACCATGACAAAATAGCCTAACAAGGACAGATTCAGCTTGCAGGAGGAGCCCTGTATCGTTCAGGGGCTAAAAAGCCAACAGTCAGGGGGGTCCTTTGATCCACATCAGACTCCTGAAAAATGAAGAGGAATCAGTGCCAATAATGCAAAATTAAATAAAAAAGGCAAGTAAAATTCTAAAAATGTTTTGTAGTTATTTGAATTGATAAATCATAAATATATACTTCTTCAGGGGCGTTAAGAGGAAAAATATCACTAAACACTCCCCTCCTGGATTTCATTAGTCTAAAAGTAAGAAAATAATAATTTTNTATGGTTTAAAATATTATAAAATTATTATTTTCTTACTTTTAGACTAATGAAATCCAGGAGGGGAGTGTTTAGTGATATTTTTCCTCTTAACGCCCCTGAAGAAGTATATATTTATGATTTATCAATTCAAATAACTACAAAACATTTTTAGAATTTTACTTGCCTTTTTTTATTTAATTTTGCATTATTGGCACTGATTCCTCTTCATTTTTCAGGAGTCTGATGTGGATCAAAGGACCCCCCTGACTGTTGGCTTTTTAGCCCCTGAACCATACAGGGCTCCTCCTGCAAGCTGAATCTGTCCTTGTTAGGCTATTTTGTCATGGTCTAATATTCTGTCAGACCTAAAATCTTGAAAACAATAATGATACATCGGCAAAAAAATATTTATAAATACCTGTTTTGGACCTCCCTTTCTACGCCCCTGATCAAGAGAAAAAAAAATTTGAAATTTTTTTATGCCCCTTATGGATTAAAAGAATATAGGTGCAAAGTTAGCACCATTTATCTCTATTATTACAAGAGTTATTACAAACTCCTGGAGACTAGTGAGGTCCTTTAGATTTAACTAATAATCGTGATTTTTTAATCGAGCAATTAATTTTTTAGGCTGCAGCATCCCTTGGGAAAAAGAAAAGCAAATGAGAGGTTCAGGATCAAAGATGAAGAATATTATTATCAAGAAGAAAAATTTAGTGTAAAGAATCTGTTCCAATTTTTGGGTTTAAAGTTTCAAAAATGTTATCAGTGCTTAGGATCCGGATCTGTTGGATCCCTAACATTTTGGCTTCCTGGATCCGTATCCGCAAAGATATGCGGATCCATTTTTTTTCCAGTGCGGATCCGGTGAAACAAAATCAAATGGATCCTAAGCTTGCACTATTTTTTACAATCCCACTTTACCGTTAGTCCCGATGTATGGGAGAATATATGTACCCCTAAACACTTCTTTAATACAAATATTAGCTATTGGTATGATATTCATTTGTTTCGATTAGTTGCTCAATGCTCAAGGCTCATACAATTAATCAGTTGATTGATAGATTGATCGATTATTTTCAGCTAAAATGGCCGCTTCAGCATCTGTTCCGTTGATGGAGGACATAGAGGTATAAAAGTATTTTTGCTCCCCATTTCTTTTAAAATTAGTAATATAAAAATGTTAACGTTTAAAAACAGTTTAAGAAGTGATGTGAGATAAAACTGAAGGAACGCATCTCTTTAAAAAATCTAAATTAATTCCTAGAATAATTGGAAAGTAAAGAATACCAGAATTGTAAACTGACCAAAAACATTGAAAAGAGGCATTTTTGTCAAGAAAATTTGATTTAGTTGTAACACCCCTCTTTCTAAATATACAATAATATATTTATTAAAAAAATAACAAGTCCAAAACTTGAAGGTAAAATCACTATTTGGAAATCTCTTCACATTTTCTGGGAGTAAGTGATTTAGAGGAGGGTGGAGGATTACAGAATTATATTTCTGGGGAGGAAGTGTTTCAGGGGAGTGTGGAGGATTAAATGATGATATTTCTAGTGAGGAAGTGTTTTAGAGAAGGGTTAAGGATTAAAGAGTGATATTTCTAGGGAATAAGTGATTTAGAGTAAGGTGGAGGATTATAAAATTATATTTCCAGGAAGAGGTGATTTAGAGAAGGGTGGAGGATTAAAAAATGATATTTCTATTTTCTAGGGAGGAAGTGTCTTTCAGGAGGGTGTAGGATTTCTAGGAAATAAGTGATTTAGATGAGGGTGGAGGATTAAAGAATGATATTTCCAGAGAAGAAGTGATTTAGAGGAGGGTGGAGGATTAAGAATATATTTCTAGGGAATAAGTGATTTAGAGGAGGTTGGAGGATTAAAGAATGATAATTCAAGGGAATAAGTGATTTAGAGGAGGTTGGAGGATTAAAGAATGATAATTCAAGGGAATAAGTGATTTAGAGGAGGGTGGAGGATTAAAGAATGATAATTCAAGGGAATAAGTGATTTAGAGGAGGTTGGAGGATTAAAGAATGATAATTCAAGGGAATAAGTGATTTAGAGGAGGGTGGAGGATTAAAGAATGATAATTCAAGGGAATAAGTGATTTAGAGGAGGGTGGAGGATTAAAGAATGATAATTCAAGGGAATAAGTGATTTAGAGGAGGGTGGAGGATTAAAGAATGATATTTCTAGGGAGGTAGTGATTTAGAGGAGGGTGGAGGATTAAAGAATGATTTTGCATTCAACAACAATGTTGCTGGAGCCAGTAAACTCATCCGTCTAGGTAACTCATTCATCGACTGCTCTTTTTTGATCCTTTCATTCATTCATTCATCCTTTCACCTACTGTCCTAATCATTCATTCATCCACTGTTATATTTTTCATTGATTCAACCTTCTACTGTTGTGTCATTTATTCTTTCATCTAATTGTATTTTATTGATTCTTACATTTATCATTTGTTCTTTTATTCATTCATAATTGTACTGCTCTTGTCTACATGCATCTAATTGGTTTATTCATTCATGCATTCATTTATTAATTTTCTTTTATTCTTTCATGCATTCATCCTCTGTTGTTTAATTCATCCTTGCACTTTTGTTTTAATTTATTCATGTACTGTTCTTTTTATTCATTCATTCATTCTTTTTTTCTACAGGGTGACCCAAAAATACAGGGATTAACAAGTTAAAGCCCCAATAATCTTCTATAAATTACTTGAAAAAGTGCCCTAGCATAAAGTTTTTAATTTTAGGAGGGGCCGTTTTTCTAATATTTTTGCGTTCGATGCTTCTGTTTGTCGCAAAACTGTGTCTAATTTTCAAAAACCTATCTGTTAACTTTGAACAATTAATAATTTTTATTATTTTATTCAAATCTATATTGCAGAGAGAAAAAAACTGAACAATGCTTCGAAATCATAATAATGAATTTTTATTTAGGTTACTAATTAATGTTTATATTTTATTAACTATTTCTTAAAGAGGCCCCAATTTGATTTTATGCAAAAAATCGCCTATTTTCAATTAATTTTCAAGGTTTATCAAAGATGATCCAATCATGGGGCCGGGATGTCTGCCACCAATCTTTTTTAGGTTTCTCTTCATAGAGTTCTGTTTATAGGACTACGTATACACCTGGATTTCAGGAAAACCCCTGAAGTAAAATCTGGGGGGTTCAGAAAGATGTAAATAAATTTTTTTGTTTCTTAATCAATATTGGTAAGCTAAAGTTAACAGAAAGGTTTTCAAATATTGGCCATAGTTTTACACCAAATTGAAAGATTGGACGACACAAACAATTGTATGACCCGTTCTTAAATCAAAAACTTTATGTTAAGGCACATTTTTGAGTGATTTCAAAAGATTAAAGGGGTTTAAAAATCCAAATCCCTTTTTTCTAACTATTTCCTAACTTTCTGTCTAACTATCTATCTATCTATCTATATAATTATTTATCTATTTAGGGTTTATGAGTAAAGTATTTGGATTACTAACTATCCAATTATTTATCCTTTCTATCTATATCTATCCAACTATCTGTCTATCTAGCCAACTATCCATCTGTCTATCTATCAATCTAGGGTTAATGAGGAATGTATGTAAACTGTCGATCCAGCTATCTATTTATATAGGGTTTATCAGGAAGGTCTGGTATATGGATTACTATCTATCTAACTATCTATCTACCTATATATCTAGGGTTTATGAGGAAGGTATATGGATTACTATCTATCCAACTATCTATCACTACTCTGATCGGCGCAGCTCTAATCTTGACCCCTGGAGTCAAAGAGATGGTTCAGGTCAGAAACCTTTTTTCACATAAAAATAGTTGTTGCGCATCAAAAGTCATAAAAATATAAATCACTGCTTGTTCTTTAACGAACTCTTCAAAAATCTTTACTGTTTCCATATCTGTTAATCATGTTCAACAGTTTTTAAATATTCTTTGCTTTTCAAATCTTAAAAGCAATAAAATCTAAATTTTCAAAATTGAGTATAAAACAATCATTTTTTTATTGTTATTGTCGCTTACAATCCTGAGTTTAATATTAGAGCACAGGCAACCCCAGGCGTGATCATTCAAGGGACGTACGATTAATAAGAATTGCCTGGGGACCAGGATAACCCCTGCAATTTTGTTTCAATAAATAAAGAAAAATATTTTATCAGGCCAACTCATGGATGCTTTTTCCCGCGTTCTTTCTTTCATTTGGTCTTCTCATTGCTCTTCAAGTCAAGAGGAAGGTTCATCCAACAAACCTTATCCTGTTAGGTAAACACTTAACAACACAGGGGAATATAGTTACAGGGTTACCTACCAACCTTATCCTGTTAGGTAAACACTTAACAACACAGGGGAATATAGTTACAGGGTTACCTACCAACCTTATCCTGTTAGGTAAACAGAACAGGTGAATATAGTTACAGGGTTACCTACCACAAAGGATGAGACTTCAAAGACAAATTTAAGGAATTTGCACTCCTTTTTTTTCCTTTGTTCAATTAAGAATGCAGACTGAATTTAACCTTAGAATCGTCATATCTTAAATAGTTTCAAGTCTTCTTTACAGTCGCAATCTCTATGGGTAACCCTGTGGGCCTGTATTTCATTGGAGACAAATAACTTTTTTCCCCGTATTGTAGAAATTTTTGGGCAAATTTTTTTCAAGGTGATCATTTTCTTTAAATTATTTTTTTCTCTTTAAAATATTATTTCGGAAAATTGATGATTTTTGATTTAAAGTTTTGCAACTTCTAGTAAATGTCCAATCAACCCCTCTACCTCCACCTATAGAACCATCCTGTTATCTTCCACATTTTTTTCTAATTTGAGGGGAAAGTAAATACATTTTTGAAATTTGTGCCAAAAATATTTCAACGGCGAATAGTCCATTTTTTCATTTTTTTTCCAAATCTTCGGAATTCATTCAATTCTTAAGTAATTTATTCTAGAAACCTTTCCTTTCTCGGTAACTATAATCCACTGATTGATGGATTGATCCATTTATTTAGTTATTCAATGATTCAATTATTCAATGATGATTGATTGATTGGTTGGTTGATTTACAATTGATTTATTATTTAGCTGCCTTCACTGTGGTTGAAGCTTACACTGTTGGTGTTCTGGTCACATTCTTTGATAAGCTGGTGGTTGTCCAGGTAGAGCTTAGGGGTGTTTATTTTCTTCAATAATCATTTCCCTCCCTCGCCCCTTTTTTAAAAATTACTTGTTTCCTAGATGTCCTTATGTTTTTGTTATTTCTTATGGTATTATTTGCTGATTAGGGGTTAAGCAAAGGATTTTTCAGAGGAAAATCAATACATTTGTTACTGGGTTTTCTTAAAAAATGGGAATAAATTCTTTTACATGTTTGATTTATATTCTTTTTTTATACACAGGGGGAGGGGTTCTTATTTAAAACACGTAACCCTTTGCAGCTCTAATGGCTAAAACCTTTTTGTGGTTTCCCAATTTTGCATTTTTCTTATTCAGCGGAGAAATTAAGTATAATGTTCGATTTTAAGATTTGATTAGTTAGGTCGAATTACAATTTTTTGAATTTTACATTTTACAGGCTAAATAACAAATCACGGGATTTGCAATGTTCTGCAAAAATAATACATTTGTATTGCAAGGTGTCTTATTTTATGTTAAAAAATCTGGAAATTTTGTTAACAAAATGAAGAAATATATTTTTTTTGCATGGACGAAAAAGTGCGAAACAAATTAATTTTTTAAATATATTTTTTTTGCAACATTTAATAGAATTCTGTAAACATAAGATTTATATAAAAATAATCAACGACAAAAATATATTTACAGTAAACAAATCCTCCATTATAATTTGTGCAGTACACAGTTTGATAAAAAAAATTAAACTTGATGCTTAGGTAAGATTTGGTGATTATTTTTCCCAGACTTTTTTTGTAATAACTCGTTTATTATAAAAATCAGCGGCGGATTTTTTGCAGTTAAAAATATTTCTGCATTAGGTAATTGTATTACAGTATTTTTCTAACTGCCAAAAACAAGTAATATAAATAGTGAATTAATTTGACTGAATGTATTTGCTTACCCCGTACACTAAGTTTTTTTTTTTAAAGGGACTACTAGCATAATTCAAGTGACTATTAAAGCAAAGATTACAATGCACGATTCACAACAGTACCCTGTAAAGCATTGTCTAATCAAGATGAATTTTATTTAAATTATTTTTAATTTGAATACTGGTTATTTTTAATTGTGATTTGTCTACAAAAGTAACTTGCGCATGTCTACCGCAGGAAAACATACAGGAATTATCAGAGTTCACACTTTTTAACTAAAAAACTACAATATCTTCCACATCATAGATCAGATAACGGTTTTATGGGTACTGTTGTGAATCGGGAATTGTCATCTTTGCATTGATGGCCCTTGAAGTTACGCTTAAACAATCCCTTTAATTCTGTTTAGGCCTTCTTCCTGACAGCTGCTGTTGTAGTTGGGCTGACCATATTCACCTTCCAGGTAAAAGCTATTATTATTTTAACAAATAACTAATAGGTGAAGCTTATTTATTGAATTTTAAGTGAATTTTGATCCCACATTTTACTCACAATTTCCTGATTCCGGGGTAAAAAGTTTTTTATTTGTAAGGCAAAAAAGTAATATTTTATATCGACAAAGCATAAATATTTTGCGGATTTAAAGATAATAATTTTTATGAAACTTGAATTGAATAAATTTTGTTTCCGTTTTAATTTTAAAGTTTTAATTACTTACTACCTTTGGAATTAAAAAACCGGAATGTAAACCTTAAACAACCAAAAAAAGTAAATTCCCAGCAAAAAAAACATTGTCCGGCATAATAACACAAAGCAATAAATATATAATATTGTGGAAGACAACAATTCCACAACTTTGGCCTTAGATATTTCCAAACCAAACCAGAAGACTGATGGAGATTCAACTCGTTTAATTTTCAAACCTGTTCTTGATTTCTAGTCTGATATAAATAAATATAGAGAAATGTTGATATCTTGTGTGATAAGAGGCCGTCCTTACGACTTCTATATTGGTGACTTTGATTCAGTGATTTAGTTTTAACCAGATTATCGTGATAATTCTACTGCGTCATTATGAATGATGAAGTGTCAGTCCCGACCAAAGTATGTCACCAAGGTTGCCATCAAGCTCCCGTAGTTTTGGACCAAAGTCCCTGACCTCTGGTACCTTCATGCAGAATCCGCATTCCGTAATGCTGAGATCTCTCAATCTTGTACCAAATTTGATCGTCTTCCACCTAATGGAGATGAGGGATCACCTGGGGGCTTTCAAGAACCCAGAGTCTTCTTGGCTCTCCACCGTGGAAGCCCTTGTAGCCCCCGCTATTGCTTCACCATTCAAACTCAAACCAGTGATAATAAGGGAAAAATTCACCTCTGGCCTCTATGCTGGGGGAAGGAGGGTAGTGGGGAAGACGAAAATTCCACAACTTGGCTTCAGATATTTCCAGACTGATTGAGATTCGATTCGACTTGCGTGATTTATAAGACTGTTCATGTTTTCTAATCTGATTGAAAGAAATTTTATATCTCGTTTGATTAGAGGCCGTCCTCACAACTTCTATAATAAAGATATTCATAAACTATAATAAATTAACAATAGAAAACTTATTTTAAGAAGATATATTTATTTATAGGTATATATTATATATATATTTTATTTAAGACTAAGCGTGACTTCTCGAATATGGGAGCAGCACTCTTCACTGGTCTCATTGTTCTCATCATGGGAGGATTCCTACAGGTAATAAAGGGACTGTACGTGTAATTTCAGTTGGCCCTTTAAATCGTACCCTTCAAAGCTTAGTCTGATTAAGTAGGAAATAACATATCTGTTTTTTTGTTTATTTAAACTTTGTGGTTTCTCTGCAAAGGTGACTAACTCATTTCTTGAAAGTTTCAATTGATTGAATAATTGATTTTTTAGTTAAGATTGTAGTTGATTGATCCATAAACAATAAAATTTGAAGATTCAATTGACAGATTAATTCATCGATTATTGATTGATTGGTTGGGTAATCGCTTGCTTGCTTGCTTGCTTGCTTGCTTGCTTGCTAGCTTGCTTTCTTGCTTGCTTGCTTGCTTGCTTGCTTGCTTGCTTGCTTGCTGGCGGGCTGGCTGGCTGGCTGGCTGGCTGGCTGGCTGGCTCGCTCGCTTGCTTCTTTGGTTGCTTGGTTGTGTGGTTGCTTGGTTGGTTGCTTGGTTGCTTGGTTGGTTGCTTGGTTGATTTATTGATTGATTGATTTATTGATTGATTGATTGATTGATTGATTGATTGATTTTGAAGGTTCTTGTTGGAGGAGAAATTACTGAAACTGCTCTAGCTGTTGGAGGAGCTCTTCTCTTCTCCCTCTTCATCATATATGATACACAGGTGCACAGTACACAGTACACAGTATGCAAGTACACATTATGCAGTACACAGTATGCACTACACAGTATGCAGTACACAGTATGCAGTACACAGTATGCAGTACACAGTACACAGTATGCAGTACACAGTACACAGTACACAGTATATAGGACACAGTACACAGTACACAGTACACAGTAAACAGTACACAGTACGCAGTACGCAGTAGGCAGTACGCAGTACACAGTACACAGTACACAGTACATGGTACACGGTAAACGGTAAACGGTACATGGTACACGGTACATGGTACACGGTACACGGTACACGGTACACGGTACACGGTACACGGTACGCGGTACGCGGTACGCGGTACGCGGTACGCGGTACAACGTATACCAATGTTATTGTAAAATCTGTAGCCTTATTTATATCCAAAACAATTACAAGAAATAGGGTTGAAAGTTAATGTCGTTATTTTATGTTCCTGATTAGAATTCCATAATATTGTGGTTACCATTGTATCTGTTCTAGATGATCATGACCCGTGTGTGCCCGGAGGAGTACATCATGGCAACCATCCAGCTCTACCTCGACATTATCAACCTCTTCATCGAGATTCTCAAAATCCTTGAGAAAGTCAACCGGAAGTAAATAACCGGAACTATTTAAAACCGGACGTAAATAACAAGAACTATTTAAAACCGGAAGTAAATAACCGGAAAGATTTAAAACCGAACGTAAATAACCGGAAATATTTAAGAACCGGAAGATAATGACCGGAAAATTGATTGTTGAGATGGTCAGGAATTAAATACAACTTAAGATCAATCTTGATTTTGGATTTTCTAAAGATATTTTCCGATTGGAAGAGGGTCGAAAATATTCTAATGGTTTCTAAAATTTAAATCCCGGTAAAATCTCGATATAAATGGGGTAAAAATTTTGTTAAATTTTGTAAAACCTGGTAAAATTTTGTTAATTTTCGCTTAGTTTTACTGAACAAATTTCCTTGAATTGATTAAATTGTTAAATGTCAAAAAATATTGGTCGTTGTGCAGTAACATTTTTATGATTTTATTTTTACTTAGTTTTTCAGTATTTGATTTTTCATGCGATTTATATTGCACCTTATATTTATAAAAAATACATTTAAAAATAAAATTTTATTTAAAGGCTTTATACCTTGTCAATATTGTTAATCCACGATTTTTGTGATATTTTTAGTAAAATAATATTTATTAGTTGTAGCTACCATTTATTCAGAAATAAACTATGATTGTTTTCACGAGAAATAGCCATTTTTTATTTGTAATTAGACTTATTTGTTTCAACCTATAGGGGGAATTTATTTATAAATATACACTAAAAGGAGTGTTCGCGAAAAATGAAAGGGGGTATAGGCTTATTGCGATAAAAAAAACGATTTTGATCGCTACTAATCTTACTTCTATATGTTGCGTCTATAAGGAGAAAATTGTTAAAAACGACTAATACCGAAGAACGTAGTGTCCATACAAAATCAGAAAGATGCAACATTCAACTCGGATCGTAAACAAATCAATTTAATTCCACACAAATCATTCAGATATTACAAACAGTAGTCATCGATTATTTTTCGACGCATTCGTATATAGTTAATATTTCATAATATTTTTGATTTTGTTTTTTAAAATAATTTTCGCTGTCGCTGGATTTTCGAACATTCCTGGAAAATATGAAAATGTCGTCTTCATTATCAAAAATCCTCGAAACAAATATGAAAAATCAACTATTTACGAATGCGTCGAAAAATAATCGATAACTATTGTTTGTAATATCGGAATGATTTGTTTGGAATTAAATTGATTTGTTTACGATCCGAGTTGAATGTTGCATCTTTCTGAATCTAACGTTCATTACAGAAAATTTTCCTTTAGTATTTTATAATATTTATTCACAAATGTCAGTTTCCATTATTACTTCTTCAGAGGAATTGTAATTAACACTTAGGACACTAAAAATCCATTGGAGGGATGGTAATTAACACTTAGAACTATCCCTCCGGTAGAGTAATTAGTATTAAATCACAATTGTGCATTCCCTCCGGTGGCCTCCGCTCCAGCGGAGCTGAGACCCAATGTGCTGCAAACTTCAATCTCTCCTTAAAAATACGTATTTTTACGCAGAGGTGAAACATATAAATTCCAAATATTAAGAAATGTTAAGATTTTTTTCAAACCTAAATGTACGTATAGGAAAAACCGAAATATTCCAGATGGTTACGAAAATATGTATGTCATACGTATATGGAAACTACGTATTTTTACGTATTCCAAACCTTAAAATATCTTGATAAAAAAGAACAACTTGGATCGTTTAGAGAAATGAAAAACGATCTTAATTCTTAAGAGAACTTCAAATAACGGTCGTTTTTACTGAACGACCGATTTTTTCATGCAAACTTTAAAAAGACTAACGCTTTTTACTGAACGATTCTTAAGTGAGAAAACGAACGAAATATGTGGATAATTAACGATAAATTTGAGAACGAACAAATAATTTTTTAAAACTATTGAAAAAAGGAACGAAATGGGTCGTTCACGAATGATGAAAGATCGAAATGAAAAAAAAACGTCACCATCTCTAAGTGCAAGCCATGTCAAATTAAAGAAAATTGCACTTTAGATTTTCATAACTAACTCCACATTTGGCGTATAATAAAATCTAGATATCACTTAGTCACACCAGGAGTTCGGTATTATTTTGGACTGGGACGTACGTTCTGAGAACAAAAATACAGGGTGTCCCACGAAACATGACAGTAGCAAGACGACTTGAATGACATCTTTGATCTTGGTATTTATTTGTGAACTTGAACATTTATAATTCTTGAAACAATAACTAAAAAATTCTCCTTGTCCTAGCATTTCCAAAATGTTGTTTGCCTTTTATGTGCTATCATATTACCGGAGATATTAAGAATTTTGTTTAAATTTCAATTTTGTTGAATAAACCCAAAATTGTCGAAATCCGTACGAAAGTCTTCATACTCGGGTAATATTAAAAGTACTTAAGAGGTATAGCACAGTTTAGAAATGACAGGACTATGGATATTTTGTGGATTATTATTTCTAGAATTCTACTTCTAAAATTAGGTTGACAAACGAATGCAGTAAATTACATCCAAATTCAACGACGACGTTCAAGCCGTCTTGCTACTGTCATGTTTCGTGCAGGAACACACTGTATACTTGGACAAATTCAATTTCTTAATATTTTTGTTATTCTAAAATAAATATTTATTTACTCTACTATTTGATTATCACAGCAAATATATTCATTTTTACATTCAGTAAATACTTATCTATATATAGATTTGGCTTGTCTGTCTGTTTGTCTGTTTGTTTGTATCCAATAAACGTCAAAACGGCTGAACCGAACGGCTCAATTTTTTTGTGGGACATCACGTGACCACAGGGAAGGTTTATGAATGATAAAAATAAAAAACTGTGTTTTAAAGGTTTTTAATTTTGTTAAATAATTTAAATTCTTAAAAATCCGCGAATTTTTTTTTAAATCCGCAAAAATGTTTTCTTCATTGTTTTAAAATGTAAACAAAAAGAACATGTTCACAATTTAAAAAGAAGATGGGCACGAAGCGCCCTAATTCATAAAACTAAATTCAGTCCATTTAATCTTAATCTTATCTATAAATTCCTACGCTTGACTTAAATTATGAATTTGGAAAAGATACAATTCATATTTGGTGAATTTCTGCATGGGTACTGGGTAGGAAGGAATAAAACCACAGTCATGTCTTTGAAAGATGAAAATACGTTCAAAACTGTAATCTATCTTCTCTAGGTCGGTTTTATAACTTTTCTTGCCAAAGTTACTTCAACTGTGTCCCCCATCTGTTCCAATCTAAAAATATAAAATATTTACTATTCCCCCATTTGTTCCAATCTAATATATAAAAGATTTAATGTCTCTATCTGTTAAAATGTAGATGTCTAGAGCAACAAAAAGTATTTGTGAGTTAGGTAAAATGAAAAACCAAAATAAATGAAATGATTTTAGAAGTGTTCCAATCAACTAACTAGTCGTTATGGTTTCTGTGTTTCTAAATTAAAGTTAGCTGAGTAAGTGGCATGATTTAAAAGAATTTTAAAACATTTCTAATGAATTCCCCTGTATCTACCTGCTGAGAATTGCTAAGGCATTCCTATTCAGACAATCTTCTTCTTGAATTGTTATCAGTAGATCACCTTCCCTTAGTTCACCAATACTTTCACTAAACAGTAAACAGTCATTAATCAATATACTTACTAAACAGTAAACAGTCCCTTAGTTCACCAATATATTCACTAAATATATATATGTAATTGTATAGTCATTTTTATTAATATGAATATTGTTAACTTGTGGCCTAATAAATGATTTGATTTGATTTGATTTGATTTGATAAACAGTAAACAGTCCCATAGTTCACCAATATATTCAATAAACAGTAAAAAGTCCCTTAGTTCATCAATATATTCGCTAAACAGTAAACAGTCCCATAGTTCACCAATATATTCAATAAACAGTAAACAGTCCCATAGTTCACCAATATATTCACTAAACAGTAACCAGTCCCTTAGTTCACCAATATATTCGCTAAACAGCAAACAGTCCCTTAGGTCATCAATACATTCACTAAACAGTAAATATTCCCTTAGTTCACCAATATATTCGCTAAACAGTAAACAGTCCCTTAGTTCACCAATATAATCGCTAAACAGTAAACATTCCCATAGTTCACTAATATATTCGCTAAACAGTAAACATTCCCTTAGTTCACCAATATATTCACTAAACAATAAACATTCCCATAGTTCATCAATATATTCACTAAACAGTAAACAGTCCCTTAGTTCATCAATATATTCACTAAACAATAAACATTCCCATAGTTCATCAATATATTCACTAAAGAGTAAACATTACCATAGTTCACCAATATATTTACTAAACAGTATACAGTCCCTTAGTTCACCAATATATTCACTAAACAGTAAATAGTCCCTTAGTTAAACAGTATACAGTCCCTTAGTTCACCAATATATTCACTAAACAGTAAATAGTCCCTTAGTTCACCAATATATTCACTAAACAGTAAATAGTCCCTTAGTTTACAAACATTTTCACTAAACAGTCCCTTAGCTCCCAATACTACAATTGTCTTAATAACTATGTCATATTTTTCAACTTGTTTATCTTTGAAACCTTATTTTGTAGTCCTTTCACTTTGATATTTGAAACTATAAATTCTGATAGATAAAAATGTCAAAGTTTGAAATATCAAAGGTGTACACCATTAGGTTTCAATGATTTAGGTATTTGAAAATGAAAAATCGGTTCCTTTTTCGTGGATTTTTAATTGTTTTTCAAAAATTTACAAGAAAATTAATTTGTTGTGAGTAAGGTACGATTACGATCCTAATTATTCCTAAAATCGGAATGAATCGTGTATTTTTGAATAGTTGTGATCAATTCCATTTAAAGTTTAACCTGATATAGACACCAAAGTCGTTGATGCAATCATCCTGTAAATATAACAATTTACAGTGAGAACAAGAAAACTCTGGAATACGAAGACGACTTTTAAACTCAAGTTATGATTGTAAGTCCAATGAACATGAGATGAGACACAGCAAACCTTAAGTGTGTACTTAGTATGTGATTTTTAAGCTACTTGTAGTAAAACTATTTGCTGTAAAACAATATTTAACACACTTAAAAGTCGTCTTCCTATTTCACAGTAATCTGGTTTTCACTGTATGTCACACACACACAGTGTGTACCAATAATATTTCCATCTGAATTCAGAATCGCTTTTTAACCATTAATTAGCTGACAATAAAATTCTATTAATTTTTTTTTAATAAGAAATAATAGTTTCTTTACAGGATTTATTAGTTCAATGATTAACAAACGACAGTGATGTTTCTCATTTCTATTTATATATTGAAAGGGTATTGTTGTGAATCGAGAATGTACCTCATGTACGGAGAGTCAATTTACGTCGACCAACCCTGCAGCGTTGCCCAGGTTACTCGTAATTTCTCCTGCCGTTTACCCGCACTTGGACAATTTTACCGAGAAACTAAATTTTCACTTTAAAAGTCGATTCACTCAACTAAGAATCTCAAAATCAAGCTAAGAAGGTTACCGTGGCTCTCTCGAGTTCCCCAATCAAAATTTGAGGCAAATCGATACAGGGTTTCCTGAGTTATGATCGGACAAACAGACAAACAAGGATTACAACTTTAAATTATTACCTCTATCTCGTAGAAATTCTTGATGGTAGAGTCAAGTAGGATAGATCTAAATACAAAGCTATAAAGTAGAGTCAAGTAGGATATAGATCTAAATACAAAGCTATAAAGTAGAGTCAAGTAGGATGGATTTAAATACAAAGCTATAAAGTAAAGTCAAGTAGGATGGATCTAAATACAAAGCTATAAAGTAAAGTCAAGTAGGATAGATCTAAATACAATGCTATAAAGTAGAGTCAAGTAGGATGGATCTAAATACAAAGCTATAAAGTAGAGTCAAGTAGGATAGATCTAAATACAAAGCTATAAAGTAGAGTCAAGTAGGATGGATCTAAATACAAAGCTATAAAGTAGAGTCAAGTAGGATAGATCTAAATACAGAGCTATAAAGTAGAGTCAAGTAGGATAGATCTAAATACAAAGCTATAAAGTAGAGTCAAGTAGGATAAATCTAAATACAAAGCTATAAAGTAGAGTCAAGTAGGATAGATCTAAATACAAAGCTATAAAGTAGAGTCAAGTAGGATATCTTGAAAAATTAAAAACAATTTTATGTGAAACCAACCATATTTATGCCGCGGCTTTAATTTAAGCCGCGGCTCAAAATATTTAAGTTCTGCCTCAGGCTTCTGAAATAACAACATTTTATTCTATAAAAATATTACCTGTTTATTTTTAAGTTAAGGATATCCATATTCATCAGTTCATCTTCTAAATGCAATATTTAAAAAAGATACGTTTTTTCAACTTTTTAACATGAATGAATTGTATTAAGGAACTGAATCTTTGCCACAAACTCTGATTTTCTAATTCCTATATCTTTGCAACTCATGTCGTAAACCGTGTATATTTCAAACTATAAATACTGCAGTTAGTTTAAAATAATAATAATAGGGTTTAGAAAATTTGAAATTGTTGCAAAGACTTGCACTCAATTTCTTTAGACAAGAATGTTGTTATCATGTTGTAAACGGCTTTAATTTAAACTGTATAATTAATAAGCTGAACTACACTATACGCATTTCTGGAACCGAAATACATCAATCGATCGATGAAAAGGTCGCAGTAACTACCGCTGATTCAAATCCTGAATGAATTTATAACTCTGAATCAGTATTCCAATTTGATCCGGCGGCGCGGCAGCATGGGTACACTGATTTGCTCAAATTCGTAAAATTTAGTTCGTGCAATGTTATAATAAATGAAAACCATTAAATGTCAGTTAAAATTGGATCATAACTTTCTAAAGCTCTTCAGCATTTTAAAAAATTTGAAAAAGAATTTCTGTATTTTTTGCATTTTTCCTAAAGTGAGGTCACTAGTTTCAAGATTCAATGTTTCTCCTCTTTCGTATTCCTAAAAAAAAAAAAAAAAAACCATTTAAATTGATAAAATATTGTAAATCAAAAAGTGGCATTTTTTTGACCTTCCATTTAAATAGTGACGAGCCAGATTCACAAAGGTACCTTTACACCTTTATCTTATCAATAATGTGGAGGATATCGTCGTTTTTCTAGCTTGAAAAACACTAATTAAAATTGTCAATTTTAGATAAGCAAATGATGGATAATTCAGACGAATCTGTTAATGGTACTGTTGTAAATCGGACATGCCACTCCATGAATAGAAAATCATATGAAGTTACATCTGTAGTTTTTTATGGTATAATACATTCTTAAAAAGACTTATTTAATATTCTGATACGAGTCAGGGAAGAAATTAGTATCATTCATTGGAGTACTTTTGGAGACCCCCTTTCATCGGAGACGCGAAAGCCATCTCATCGAAGACCCATAGTTCTTCATATAAAACCCCAAGTTTTGCATCTGAAACCCAACATTTTATTTATCGACCCCAAGTATATCTTCAGACAACCCCAGAATTGCATTGGATACCCCAAGCTTTTCATCGAATTTGGGGGTTTCCAATGAAATATGAGGGCTTCTAATGAAAATATGGGCGGAGTCTTCCAAAAAATTACAGGGGTCTTCAATGATAAGCTTGGGGTCCCCAATAAAAATCTGTAGTCTCCAATGAAAAGTTTGAGTTTACCGATAAAAAGCTTAGGGTCTCGGATGATGAGCTCCAATGAAAATTTCGAGGTTACACATGATAATCTTGGGGTCTCCAACAAAAATCTAGGGTTTCCTATATGAAAAGCTTGGGTCTCCTACTCCAATTATTATCTGGGGGTCTCCGATAAGATGGCTTTGAGGATCTCAGAAAGTGCTCCAATGATGATGATTTCTTCCCGAACTGTCCTGCAAGACACAGAAAGGAAAACCATGAGACCTAATTGACACTTGTCAATTTGAATGCAGTGGACAGACAGTACACCTATGAGAAGTATATTGCTATTATATAAAAATATACGATAGATCAATCAATATCCTTCAAAAATAAATAAATAAAAATATTTCTTGAAGAATTTGAAAGAAAGTTTAGCCCCTGGATAAATTTGTTGAATTAGATAAGAGCTACCATGAGTTATGAAGTCTAGAGTCTAACAAATTAATTGACTAGGAATTTAAAACACCATGTAGATATTCTTAATTTGAATACTTAAACAATTTTAAAATTATACACATTTTATTTCATACAAAAACTGTGTGTTTCTGTTTTTGTCATTTTTACTTTTCCTGATTTAAACTCCCCCCCCCCTCCTCCATCTAAAGAGAGGAATGTCGGATTCACAACGGTGCCCATAAAGGCTTAAAAGCTTTGTATGATAATTTAAGAATAAAGGAGATATTCATGTTTTTAAATTGAAGTCTTTTTCAATTGTTGTTTATTTTAAGATTTGACTTGCGTATTTCAGTTAGTTTAACAGTTAGTTAAACAATGGCGGTGTAATGGTCGAATTAAACACTTTTCAAGTAAAAAAAAAACAACAATATCTTAAACATTTTGTATCAGAAAAAGGTTATGGGTGCCGTTGTTAACTTGAAATATAATCTATAACTGTCCTTTAAGCATTCAATGAAAATAAAATAAGAAATTGAATTCAAATTAAAATCGCAGATTTTAATTTTAAAAAACTAATGGGTTTATTTACCTCGCATGAAAAAGTTTCATGAGTCTGAATTTTATCTGAAAAATGAACTTCAACCCCGGTCTTTTTCTTATTCATTTTCTACCTCTGAAATCTATTTGAGACACACATGTGAGACCCATAAAATTCAGGAACAGAAAGAAGGCATTTAGTATATCTTTAATGTTCGTTTTTTTAGATTAAATATGAAAATCTATTTTTAAGTGAAATGGGTCTTTTTGCATTTGCTTTGTTTTAAATTTTTATTTTTTTGTAAATCCGCAAATAAAAACATGAAAAAACTTAAAATTTTATTCGCTATTATTCCAAACTTTACGAGAAAAGAAAAGAAACGTAAAGAATAGCTATTATCAGAAACATGGGTGTAGATTTTAAGTAATTATTTAGAAGGCAACTTTTTAGTTTTAGTGTTTATGGAAAACTAAAACAGACGATCATTCTTCAGAGCTAGACGACTAACATATTCATGATAGATCGGAATATGATCGGGATCGAAGCAGTTCAATTCAAATATGTAAATTCAAATTTTAGTTATAATTAGAATAATTTCAAAATTTTATCAAAAATTACATTGTAGATGACGGTTTGTGAAATTGCATATCGTTGGAAAAAACTTAGTATTTCTTAGAACAAATTATTAAATCAATCTACAGCCTTTCTCCAAACTTACTGATCCTACGGGGGTAGACGATTATATCAATATAATGAAGACGACTTTCGGATTAAATTTGTAATTTTATCAAGCTTATTAAACAGCATGGATACAAAATAACATTAAAACAAAGAGAAGCTTTCAATTTAAAAAGCTTTTCTTTTATTACTTGTATACTTGTAATGCGAAAAAAGCTTGTTAACTATTAAAACTTGTATAAAAAGTCGTCTTCATTATATTCATATCATCGCCTACCCCCGTACAGTAAGAAAAAGAAAACTGTGTAATATGAAGACGACTTGTAGACCCAAGTTATGATTTAAAATAGCATATTAAACACAAGACACAGCAATTCTGCAGTGAGCACCAACCATTTCACTTTAAAAAGTGATTTTAAAGTTTTAGTAAAAATATTTGCTCTGTAACAGCCTCAAATATCTACAAAAACTTTAATACTGCTTTCATGTCGTCTTCCTATTTCACAGTTTTATGGATCTTTCCAGAGCTGAAAACTTTGGAATGGGATATCCTTAATCCCGATCAGTTAATTAATCTAGAGATTAATAACAAGAGGAATACAAGCATTATTTAATCTCGAGATAAAGAAAGAGAGTGGATAAAGCATGAATCCCGATATCCACCGTTGAAAAGTTCCCAGTATTGGTATGTTTTCTTTACATACAGGATATGTATACACTGATAGTATGCTCAGTTTGATGTGATATCGTAGTAGGCTGTACTCAGGGCATTTTGCCAACAAGCAATGTACGTCATGGGAAAAAATTCTCATAAAAAAGAATATTTTTTTACTCTGTTTAAGGTTTTAGTACGCTGATTGGTGATTATTATAATTCAATGAAGACGACTTGTTTATTTAAGCTTTTTACTGTTAGCAAGCTATTTTTTAATTACAAGGTAATTATGTTTCTGTGTATTCATTCTGTTTTAAATCAACATTTAAAACTAAAGTCGTCTTCATTGTATTGATATTTGCGACAACAACTGTAGTATCCCAGTAACTACAATTGTCTTGGGTTCAATTTTTGCAATACTAAGAAGCCAATCAAGAGTTCAGATTCCAATTATCTTCAAACAACAAAATTGTTCAATGTTTTATCCTAGTCGATTTTAATTTTCTATAAAGAAGGATGAACACATTTTGGAAATCTCACAAGAATCTTTGCCATTGATCCAATATTAAAAAATAAAGACGACTTTCAATTTGTCTCTTATTTCACAAATTTTTTTTTAATTCATTGTAAACAAAACAAAAATTGTTTAATAATGTTCAAAGAAAAAATAGCGACTTAAAAGGACATATTTAAAAGCTAAACTTTTATGTTTAACTAGGGTTTCCAGCGAACAAAAACTTTCGCGAAAAAATGCGAAAATTTTCGTTCGAATTTCGCAAACTTTTTCGCTAAAATGATTGTACCTGCAACAATTAATTGCACAAATATCTGTGAAATTCTATGCACTGAAAACTTAGCATTTGAAGTTTAATTATATCATAATTAATTTCTATTCCTTAACTTAGATAAATGTATGATGAAAAAAATTTTGTTCGCGAAATTTTCGCGAGCGAACGAAATAATGCAAAATTTTATACGAAAATTTCGAAACGATTTACCCTTTACGGTGAAATCCCTACTAACTAAAAATAGCCTAGTCCTAAGATTATGATCATCTTCATCAGAAAGTTAAAGGTTTGATTATGATTAGATATGTAATTTTATTGATTCAGACTGAACGTTACAACTACAAGGAACAAGTATTAACAATAAACATCTGATCACAATTCTAGTATTATATAAATAGGATGGAAACTGTTTCTAAAAGCTGAGTTGATTTCGTCCTAAAATAGGTTTGTTTTTAGAAGACTATTTCATAAAATGATTATTATTTATAAATTTTTGCAAATAGCAGACACTCAGTTATTATTATCAATAGCATAAGTCTATTCCTTCGATTTTACTTCACATTTCTCGAAAAGTAAGGAGTCTGTTTACAAAAGCTCATTCTTTTGTATAATTTACAATCATGTAGTTTTCAGAAGCTTGACAGTCTGTTTCCAAAAGTTGAATTTATTCCTTTTTTTCACATTCTTCAAATAGGATGGACTCTGTTTCCAAAAGCTAACTTTATTACACGATTTCCATTCATACTCTGTTAAGGTAATCTATTTCCAACAGCTGAATTCATTTCAGTATTTACATTCATATATTTTGTTAAGGTAATCTGTTTCCAAAAGCTGAATTTATGATTTTACTTCATATTATGTTAAGGTAGTCCGTTTCCAAAAGTCTGTTATTACAGTATTTCCATTCATATTGTTAAGGTACTCTGTTTCAAAAAGCTGAATTCATTTAATGATCTTCATTCATATTCTGTGAAGGTAGTCTGTTTCCAAAAATTGAATTTATTCCATGATTTCTATTCATATTCTGTACTGGAAAACTGGTTTGAAAACAATATTTATTGCTATTCAGTATTCATATCATTAACCTATAATAATCAATCAATTGTTAATTAAAAGAAAAATATTTTTCTTTTTTAACAAAAAAGGTTTGCTAATTTTTGTTTTCAACATAACTTTTATGATCTGGAGATTTATAGATTTTCAATAGAGGGTTTTTAAAAAATACTTAGAAGTTGATTGGAACTGTATAAAAAACCAATCATCGATGCACCTTCTGCAAATATTGAATTTAAATTCGGTACAATGCAATCGTCTTAGAAGTCTCATTCTTAATTGTGGGTTACCCTGTAAATTGATAAATTGATAAATTGATAAACAGATTGATAAATTTATTAATTAGCTGATTGGTAAATAAATTGATAAATTTATTTATTTAATGGCTTATTGATTAATTGATTGATTGATTGATTGATTCCTATGGTTGAAGAATATTTGAGCAGCTGCCTCTAGTTTATGTACCAAAACCTCAAGTCGACTGTACAGTGCCCTGGCATGTATAGTTCCCATACTGTTCTTCAGATACCTGTACAGTACACAAATACAGAACTGTTATTATGATAGGAATGGGCATCGTTAATGCAAAACAAACGATTTTTCAATTATAAAACGGGAATTCAAGTCCCCGTTACCGGTCACATCGTTCCATAAAATGAATAAATGCTTTGCCGTTGGAAAAATTCTTGAGGAAACCGGAACGATCATAAATAAATGAACGAACATGGAACGAATGGGGTTTGAAAAAAAATTATTTATTAATTTCATTTATTTAAAATGCAAAATCCTTTGTAATTCTAGCTCCAGTTCAAAATTTATAACAATCTGTTATAAGTGTAAATCAGTTTTTTTAACAATATTACACTGATCTAACATGTTATTACACTGATCTAATATGTTGTTACCTATAAAGAAGAAGTGCCTGGTTTCTTGGCAAAATATCCTCCTTAGCTCCTAGCGTGTGTAAATACTCTTCCTAAATAATAATAATAATAATAATAATAATAATAATACAATTAATAATATTAATATTAATAATAATAATAATA